CTGCAGAGGCAGCCCAACTGAGTTGGATTATTTTGCATGACTCTTTGAAAAGCTTGGGTTTTTTTCCAAGGCTTCTATGGGCTTTAAATTTTTTGACCAAAACTCTATGTTTTCAGAATCCAATTTATATGAAATAGATGTTTCTATCAGGCTTCAAGTAGGGCATCTGGACCAATTTTTAGATACCTGCTTTGAAGTCAACCCTTTGTTTTGGCCGTTTGTTCATACATTGATATATGCAATATTTAATTTACAGAAAAGCTGTATTCTTTTTAACTATGCAGCTGTTTTAGGTTTTTTCATAGTTTTTTAGGCTGGCTTTACTAAAATTTTCAAAGGTTCAATACTTTAAGTCAGGAAATGCTAATAGAGTTGCTGGTAATTAAAGTGGGTTTTTACAGTCTCTTGTACCTCAAATTGAATAGATACATTGAAGTCTGTTCTTGAAAATAATTTTACAAGCTAGCCATCCACATGTACTTCTTTTCTTTCTCTTTTGAATCCAAGTTTTGCTGTGTTCCTCTTCACAAACAGAGGTGTCTTTGGGTGGATTCTGTCATGGCTGGAAGCTGCTCTGTGTTTTACATGCATGCACTTGCTAACTTCTTGCAGTGTTACTATTGCTTCTACTGCTTCTGGGCAGGAGCATGCAGGCTACCCAGTAATGCTCAGATTTTTGGGTGAAATTCTGGGACTAATTTAAATATTATTAAGGAACAAGATAGTAATTTAATTTACCAAATTAAAGCCACAAGATGGCATTAAATTGTCAACTCTTTCCTTTGCTCCTAATGTTTTTTTAAAGGTCAAAATACTACAGGCTCTTATGATCTCTACAGAGAAACCAGTTGAGAAAAGGTATGAATATGCAATGAAATAGTTTTTCCTTCCACAATTTGGACCTGTAAAGCTGCCGTAAGATATCTTGAATAATTTGGTTTGAAACAGGAGAGTTTATTTTCTAAAGTGTATCACAAGTTACTGTTCAGGCAATTTTTCATTCTAGTTGGGAAATGAGGGTAACCTAACTATGGCTGTTAATGCTCATTTTGAACCTAAGAAAAGCATTAAGTTTCTAAAATACAGACTTTTTTCTAAAATATAGGAAAATAATAGTTGGGTCCTGATGGATGTCTGGTAAATTTTGGTAATGGGTAATTTAAAAAAAAAATTAATACACATAAATAGCTGTTTAAAAAAATTGTTATTTTTGGAAAAGTCAAAAAAAGAGGTTCAAAACCAAGAGGTTTTAAAAGGTGTCTAAAAGAAAACAAACAAATCCCCAACAGCCACTCTTAGGAAACTTAAGCCCAACCATGGCTGTACTAACCACAGCTACTGAGCTGCTTTCCACTCATCCAGTGCTTTGTGCACCCAGTATTTTCTAGGTACAACAATGCTAAATAGCAAAAGGAATACACTAAACACAAAACCATTGCTAGGCAGAGATATCTTAAATGTCTGAAATGACAGGGAACATAAGCACTAAAATGAGTCCCACAGAGAAGCAGATCCAGGACTATGGGAAAACGAGGCAGTGAGGCTCAGGAAAGTGTGGAGCTGATGACATTCTGTGTCAGGTTGTTGCTTCTGAATGGTTAAAATGTAAATCATAAGTAAACTATATATATATATAACCTTCTATGGTAAATTAGCAGAAGTAAACCAAGTAATATGTTTTTGATTAAAAAACAACGTTAAGTGGTTGTCTTAAAGAAGATTTGTATTTTTCAAATTACATGGTTTTGTTACTAAATTAGTTTCAACTTATGAATATTCATAATATACTCCTTAACAGTGTCAAACAGCTTATGCATGAGAATTAGGTATGTCATTTTCGAGCAAAACTGTCTAAGTATTCAGAAATTTTGAGGAAATGAATGTTCTTTAAATAGCTGAACAGTGATTTCTGCTGCTTGTGATGCTTAGGGTACAGCTGCATGAACAAAAGCTCCCTTAGCTGGAGTTTCAATTTGCAGTGCGCTGGTTACTTAAGAGTAACTTCTAGATTAAGAATTTCACATGAAAAGATTTGAAATACCTTTGTGTGTGCTCAGTGAGAAATAATTCTCACTCCAGGGAGTGAGAGTGTGCAAACCAGGAGTTGCCTCTGAGTAGCTGAGAGACCACAAGTCACCAGCAGCATCCCCTTTGTGTAGCTGGGTGAAGCAGCTACAGCGTTACTCTGCCACAGGAATACTCTTTTTTCTCTGGGAGAAATCCTGGAATAGAGTCTCTGTGGTTATACCTGCCTTAAGAGCAGAGCTTGTCTTAAATCAGTGTGTTGTCATGGGAAAAGCTTATATCTCTATCTGAAGGCTTCAGAAAAGCAGTAATTTTGAATCCAAACTTAGCAGAACAAAGGAAAATCCTAACAAAATTATCCTGATAATGACTTCCTTACTGACACCAGGTTTTCCTCTCCACTGGCAGGTCTTGTCAACCACCACAGCTCTGTGCTTCTGTTCTTTTCCTCACCTTGGTAGTATACATTTCTCCTTACAAATCTTCTGAGAAATGTGGGGGTGAAATATTGATCAGAGTTTCTTTTGCTACATTGGCTGCAGCTTTTACAGAACAAGAGGTAGTGGTTAGATCACTGAAAATTGTAAAAAGAGAAGGGGTGTAAATCACCTCCAAAGGATTGATGGTATACCTTCAGTCAGGTGACAGCTGAGCTTTCAGGGTACCTCAATATCAGGAGTTGTGAGCTGAGGGAGGTTCATTCCTGAGATTATCATGCTGTAATCTCCACAATTTATTGATTTGCAGAATTTGGTCTTACAAACAGAATGGTCGTAGGCATGGAAGTGGTATTTACTCATTTAAATGAATTTATTTCCTACTATTAATCAGCTACTTTTATGTGGGTTTTTTCCTGTACTTTTTTTTCATTTGGGTGGGTATATTTTGTTTATTTCAGTTGCCATGTTCTCAAAGCCCTCCTGTTTTGTTTTAGGCTCCTGCACTAAGTTTCCCATAAATCGCTGTAGAGGAGGCAGTTCAGAGGAGAGTGTGAAGAACTCCCATGCAGATAATTTGCCAGTTACTTCATTAGACTTAAGCCACTGGTTTGGCTTTGGTTCTTATTTGGTTATAATTGTTCACAAGTTTCTCTGCTGCAGCTCCTGGTTGCCTCCTTCACTGCAGGCTGTGTTTGAGCCATGGGAAGCACTGGCTGAGTGGCAGGGAGGCAAGCAAGGCTGCACTGCTCATTCCATAGGGGTGGAAGGAGGAATGAAGGTGTGGGACAGCACACAGTAATGCTTATGCATCTAAACTGGATTTAGAAACTTGAAACTTGGCATTGCAGGAGTTGATGTTTCTTTAGCTTGATCATTTTCTTTACATTTCATCAAGTGCTGTGAATTTAAAGAAGTGTTATGGGGGAATTCTTGGTTTCTTCAAAATGAGTAACTAGTGCAGCACAGAATCATTCTTTTGACACAGAACATGGTAGCTTTCTACAGAAAGAGGTGCAAAATGTTTTAATTTTGCTTTCTTGGAAAGTGGAGGTGAAAAGAAGGATGCTGTTTCGCAGCTGCAAGGCTTGTCTCAAAGGTAGTCAGCCTTTATTGCTGCTCTTTCTTTAGAGTCTGGTAGTATTTTCATTTTTATAATTTTCTGAGTAATTATTGTGAAAGGACATTGGCAAAAATACCTTTCCTCTGCTACTATAAAAGTAAATCTTAAAATAACAGGCACTGACTCAACTGCCCTACATAAATGTTGGTATTTCCATAATCAGAAAAGAGTACAGCAAAATTTGGGTAGACCCATTACTTGCAGAGTAGGGTTAAATCCCTCTACTAACGATTAATGGGCCTGTAAAAGTTACAAAAGCTGCTCACTGCACCAAATGTCAGCTCCAGCTTATTGTAACTAATCATGGGTGGCTTCACTAAGGCTCAGGGAAGAGAGGCTTTGAGTAAATTTGTGTTTTCTATGGGCTTGTGTGGGAGCTTCTATTTGTACTTCAGAGATCATGAGATAAAGAGTTTTAACTTTCATGATGGAAACTTAAAAGCAGCTCCTCTAAGTATTATTTAAATCATGCAGTGAGCCCTCTCATGAGCTTTCTTTTATTTTGCATTACAAAACACGCTGTTATTTATGCATGGAGATAGAAGTCTGATAATGCCTATTGGAGTCCTTTCCAACAGGTTTTCCTCTGAGTGGGATCTCTGACCTTTCTCAATGTCTCATGCTTGTAGGATACCTCACATAGTGTTTAAGTAATTTTCAGCTAAAATCCATGGTTTCGTGTTAAAAAGGTTTTTTTCCTGTCAGCTCTGCAAACAGATAGAAGTGGCTGGAATATGCTGCAGCTTTTTAGCATGTTGGTGCTATGTGTTATGTTCAGTGAGGTTTCACAGCAGAAACTGAGAGCAAAATTTGTTCTTGCAGGAATTGCGTTGCTTTGGAAGCAGACATGTGACCTCACTGTTTTCTTTGGTGCTGTGTTGACTCTGGGGAATTAACAAGAATAAACAGTAGTGCAGGTCTTTTGTGTGTTACATTAAGGTAATTGGATAAGGCATGAGCAGAACTAATTATCATGAGAGTGCTATTCCTGGGCACTAAACTCCTCAAGTCAGGAATGCATTGCAATTTCTTGGTCCTGGTTTTCTATCCAAAGCATAAGGGGATCTTGACTGGAAATTTCTACAGCCAATTTCTTCTGTTTACATTACTAACCCTTGGTGGAGGTGGTAGTAGGTAAAATGAAACAATACTATAAATAGGAAAGGTTTCTTTGAATGTATGTTAAAAAAGTTAATGATTGGTTAAAATGTAAGACTGTCGAGGTTGTTTGTCTTCCCTAAACCTAAAACAGGATCTATAAAGAGTTTGGAATACTTTGTCTATTTTCTTCCATCTCTTTAGTGGAAACATACTGCTTCATTATGATGATACTTTCAGTACCTCTGTGTTAATTGAAAACTCGTGTACCTGACACAAAGCTCAGCTGATCGTGTTGCTCTTCTGTCTTTTCAAAGGAAGGTGCATCTGCTCGAAAAACACAAACTCCGGCAGCACAGCCTGTGCCACGACCAGGTAAGGTGGCCCCTGTCACACGGGCTTCTGTCCCACATACGCCTGAGTTTCTAAGGAGTTCTCTTTAGAACTTTAGTGAGCTCAAGAGTGAAGTACAGGTCATTTAGTGTTGGCCTTTAACTGCATGTATTGGAAAAAACCCATAGCCTTTTGTTTCTTGTTATACCATGGGACTTGGGGTCCTTCTCTTCAGTGTGTTGCCCAGTTAGCCCTTTGAAAGCATGCACTGCTGAAATGAAAAAGTCAAGAACTTCTCTTGGTTGTGGGCGTGGTATGTCAGCAGTTAAAACTTCACAAAATCCCCACTCAGATATCTAACAAGAGCTGGTTAATACTCCAAGGATAAACAAGCACAATACCTAATCTCAAAAAGAGATATATTATTTCTTCTAGGATTAATATGTCAGAAATAAGTAGTTCTCTGAATGTGTTATCATTACTTCTTCACACTTCTTATGCACATAAGATAGTTGTAACGGGGCCAAAATCCTCAGCTGGGTTTTTAATTTCCATTCAGTAAATTTTGGCTACCAAGTCCATTTATCTGTCAGATTGAATCTCGAGTTTTGATGCAGTAATGGGATGATAAATGTACTTTGTTTAAATAAGAAACCCTCAGGATGAGTTTCTAGAAGTGTGTAGGACCAGTATATAAGAGGAACAGTATTTGTAAGCTGATATGCAGATTTGCCCCTGGTTTACATACTTAGAGAGTTTAGTGGTTTGATGGAAGAAGGTCTCAAGTGAAAGGTGCTATTTCAGGACAAGATAACGTTATGAAGGTCCTGGAAACATTCTGGGGGGCTTGGAAACAAAGCTACCAGTTAAAATGAATATACTTTTTCTAGAAGTACTGCTGGAATACTGTATATCCTTGTTGAGACTCTAAATGCTTGCAATGTGTGCTTTGCTAATTCCTTGAGATTTGTTTGCAGGATTTAATGCTAAGACTTAATATTGTAAAGCTGCTTCTTCCTCCAAAATCCATTCTAATATTGAATGTTCTCAGCATGCCTAAATGCTGTTGTGCACAGATTCTTGTGTTTGGTTATTTTGGAACTGGAAAGGTCATGCTGCCTGTCATACTTATCTCACTAGCCCCGTTAAGCATCCTAATGCAGATGGAGTTGACAGACAGCAGAATGAAAAGGGTAGAAGTGGCAAGAAAGGAAATGTGACTGAGTTGTCACAGTCCCTGCTGCTGGCTGTGACTTCCTGGGCATTTCCTGCCAGCAGCGTGGGCTTTGTACATGGTAGAGGTGACACTGATACTGCCCTGCTCTGAGGCCAGCCCCATCCATTATCTTGCATCTACATTGGAAACTGAAGAGAGAATAAAGAAGTCAGGTGGAGTCAGAAGAGATTTCTCTTTCTGCCTGTCCTGGGATATTTTTGCATTTTGATATTTGGATATGTTAAGAATTCAGCTGTTCTATTCTTAGCAGTCAAAGCAACTAAAACCTGCTGTTTCCAGGAGGATGCTGCTTTGCCCATAGGAAGCATTAGTTAAATTAGGCTAAACTGTTGGACAGTAGTGATTTGAAGAAAATACTTGAGATGCGTTTTTAAATTATATTTCTTGGCACCATTTTGCATTACCAACCTTTTCTCCTAACCTGTCTTTGTACAGCTATTTAATTTCTTACAGATGCTTATTCTCCCTCCCTCTCCTTTTTGTTTTGATGTTTTTTGCTTTAAGACAGCTGGCTCTGCTCATAATTTCAAGAATATTTTTACTTCAAGGAGATACCTAAATTAAAGAAAAAAAAATTTAAAATCACTGGGTAGGTAAAGTTCATGTAGTTCAATATAGTGTTGCCAATTATATCTGTGCATTTGACAGTGTCAGGAAAAGATAATTAAGGATATGGTCTCAATATTTCAATAATGGCAAGTATGTGCTGTGAATATTTATATTGTTCTAGGAAGTTTCTGAAACAGTTGGTCATAAATAAACATGAGCAAGTTGGTGCTAAGCAATTGGAAGTCAATTAATGAAATTTGTCATGCATAGTAGCAGTTGAGGCTTGAGTTAGTCTGCATCAATCTCTCTACTACTCACCATTTTCTGAATTAGGATAAACATGGATGATGATGATTATCAAGTGCTACACTTCTCTCCTGAAGTTAGGGCTCCTGAAAACTGAACTATAAAATGTTTATTTGGGGAAACCAGGCAAGTCACCTAGTAACCAGGTAATAGCACCAAAGTGAAGAAACCAAGAGGCTTTTCCACTCTTGGAATGCAGTGTCTCCCGTATTGAGGTGGTCACCACCTGGAAGACTGAAGGGGAAACATTTTGCTGGAGAGATGGGGGGCAGTCCGTTGGTTTCTACCAGTGTAACAGTAGTTTTGTGGGTTTCTTTGGTTGTTGAGGGTAGTTTTGTTTGTGGGTGGGTTGGTTTTTTTTTCTTTTTCTCTTTTTATTTTTCTTTTTTTGGTTGCTTGGGTGGTTTTCCCCTTGAGTGTCTGAGCTTGACTGTGTCTGGCTCCTGAAGACCTCATGTAACTCAAGCTGCAATCCAAAATTAACCTGAGTAAGCCTGAAATTCAGGTTTTGATTGTTGAAAGCTCTGTATCTGTTTGGGATAGCTAAATCCCATGGATGTCATGTGCAATAATAACTACTAATGGAAAGCTGAAGTGTAGAGATCAGTTTGTTGTGAAGGTTTTCCTGTTGGTTCAGCACTACTGAACTAAAGATCTACAAGCAGCTTTTTTCAAGATTGCTGGGAATTTTTGTCCATGGTGTCGTGTCCTGGCCTTTTGTGGAGGTTGGAGAGAGGATGAGTAGCTTCAGTACAAGTGGGAGAGATTGACTCAACTCTCCTACCATCTCCTTCAGATGGTCAAAAGCTGTTTGTTTTCTGGATGCTCAAACCCAAATTATAAATCCCTTCTTCATCTTAGTGTCTTGCACCTAAAAGTGATCTAATGACTGTAGTGTGACTCTTCCCTCCTCACTCCTGCAATTAAACAGATGCCTTGCAGTGACCTTTGGATTGATGTCCTAGTCATTCTACTGTATTTTTTATTTTTTTTTTTTTTTTTTCTCAGTTTCTCAAGCAAGACCACCTCCAAACCAGAAAAAAGGTGAGTAAATTTTAGTTATATGATCCTTTTCATTTCTGTGTAAATTGTGCCCACTTTTCATTTTTTTTTCTTGACACTACAAGCAACAGTATAAGCAAGCAGTGGAATATATAGCATGTATTCTGTATAGCATAATAGCATTCTATTGTACTAAATATGGGTCCCACACACGTTGAGAGACTCGTGATACAGGGATCTGCTTTTTTGGTGAATGAAAACCTTGACTTTAGAAAAGCTTTACTACTATTTTCCTTTACTATTTTTTCATGGCTGGGACCTTGTGAGCAAGAGTTTTGTTATGTACAGTTCTTTTTATGAAAAAAGGGAGGAGAGGAGGAAACAACAACCAGAACACAACAAAAAAGCCTCTCCAGGAAAAGTCTAACTTTATTATCTCTACAGGATCTCGAACTCCCATAATCATTATTCCAGCAGCCACGACCTCTTTAATAACAATGCTTAATGCAAAGGACCTTCTGCAAGATCTGAAGTAAGTAGCTGATTACAACATACTGTATAACAATTTGTTTTCAGATACAAAGTTATACTAGCACCTAATTAGTGATTAAGCAAGAGGGTTCATTTACTCTCTTGTGACAAGCTAGTTTTACAGGTCAGAGTATGAAAGAAATTAATTCCTCTTGACTAGTAGGAAAAAAAGCAAAAACGTAATTCAGACTTTTGGCTCAGTTGTGACCTGTGGGCAGATTTAGGAAACTTTTGCAGCTGGAATGTGTGCAGTCCTTTTCTTTGATGTAACATCTGTGTAGCCACGTGCAAGTGAACCCTTTCCATGGAAGAAGGCTGAGAGAAGCTGACCAAGGGAGCTCCTGGAGCTCAGAAAAGATTCTGGGAAAGGACCTCAGTTATTGTAAAGGAGAAGGTGACCAGATGGGCTGTATTGGGCTGTATCAGCCAAGCACCCAGCTGCTTGTGCAAACAAAAAAATTTTTTCTGAAGTTCACATGTTGTCATTAAGTATTGATGCAAATGCATCCAGGGAAATTTCAGTGAGTTACTAAAACTTGTTTATCACATCACACATCTGGTTCTAAGATTTAATTCATTATAGGTGAATGAATATTTCTGCTTGTCCAACAGATGATGGTTTTTAGACTTGCCTATCAGTAAATATCAGGTAATTTTTTGGAAACAGTCATTTTGACAGAGAAATGCACTGTTGTAGGTTGTCTGCAAAAATGTAGGTCGTCAAAAAAATGGAGGGATCATCTTTCTGACTGCTCCAGCACTCATCTTTCACGATAATGTTACACTGCTTTTCATCCAAATCAGGCTGTGGTGGTGGTACACCTTCTGCTGGAGTTGCCCTAGAACTGTTTAAAACTGTGCTCTGGGATACCAGGTGCCTTGTGATGCACAGGTGTTCCAGTTCTCTTGGTGCCACAGGCCATCAAAGGCCCAGTGAGTGCACTGGGCTCTCGTGTCTCTTCTGAAATACTTTGAGGGAAGGCTGGCTTTTAGCATTACAGTTCAGTGTGCAAGCCGTCACAGCACTGACAAAGGGTGTTTGTTTATGTGGGTTTTTAATATTTAGGAAAATAAAAATAGCCCTGGCTTTTAAAAAAAAAGCCCTGGCTTTTACAGGTGACTTCCTGGCACAGGTGTACCCAGAAAGGGATGAAGCACCTGTGTAGTGGGTGGACTGCTGGCCAAACGCCAGTGCACTCACGAAATCATCTACTCATCTTCCTCTGCTGTAATTGGAGCAGAGGAGGGGAAAATAACCAGGTAAACTAAAGCTCATGAGGTTGAGATAAGGATTAGGAGAAAATGCTTTAGGGGCAAAACAGGCTGAAAACTTCAAAGGGTGTAAAGAAAACTTTATTAACAGAATTAAAAGGAGAATGATAAGAACTAAAATAAAGCTTTAGAACACCTCTCCTCCCCCCAGCCTCTTTCTATTTCCCACCTACAAGGTAAAGAGACAAAACATGGGATTTTGAGTCAGTTTACCACTTCTAAAAATAAATATTTCTTCAGTTCACTTGGGGAGAGGAGTCTTTCCTGCCATGCCACAGGAAATAGTTTCTCATGGTTTTAATTTTCATGAGCAGCAGCCCGCCCAGAAATCTGCAATCCTGAACTCCCTCCCACGTTTTGTCAGTCTTCTCACAACTGCCTCCGTAGGTCACTGGCTTATGGGGTGCAGTTTTTTAAGGATGAGCTGTTCTAGTATAGAAGTAAAGGTTCTCTTTTTCTGTCTCTGAAGCAAAGGTTCTCTTCTATCTCTGGAAGCAAAGGTTTTCTTCTTCTATTTCTTGAAGCAAAGGTTCTCTCTGTTCAAGTCAGATCACAGCTTCTTTCAACATCTGTATTCTCCAGTTCTCTTCTGAGCTGCGCATGAACGCTGCATCTCCACATACACTTTGACTTACAGGGAAATGGTCTGGTGTATTGTATTCTCACCTTGGCTTGCAAAAGGTTTGCAGCTGCTAAACAGGAGCGTTTCCTGTCCTTCTTTCCTCTGGGCTTCGGCCTCTCCTCCTTCACTGACCTTGGTGTTGCCCTCTTGTTTTCTCCACCTTTCATTCTCTCTGACTCGGGAGCAGATTGGCATCCACGGATTTCTTTGTTCTCAGATGGAATTTTTCAGCGCTGAGAAGGTTAATCTAGCCCGGGCCGTACCTGGGGACACGGCTGGCCGTGCTGCTGCTGCGGCTGCTGTGGGCCCCGCTCCCCGGCCAGGCTCCGCGGGCATTTCCCGGCTGCAGGAATCAGCGCAGCCGCGCCAGGGCCGGGGAGGGGGGACACGATGACTTCTCTCTTCTCTGGAAAGCAGGAAGTAAGAAAGAGCTTTCTGTGGTTTTTTTTTTGTTCTTAAATATGATTTATAGAGGCGTGTCCGGCTTCTCTAATTGGCTTAGCAGTGTATTAGTTTTCAGAGCCAGCTCACTATTGTTTCTGTCAGCTGTGAAGGAAGCTGTGATGTTTGTCGTGGGGAAAGTCACTTCTGTGGCTGACCCTTTTTCCTCCTCGCCAAAAATTCAATTAAGACAAACCCAGGACAATCGGCCTGTCATGTCTAAGTGATCTGTGCTAGGAGTCAGAGTTTTCAGCAGACAGCTTGCCAAGGCCTATCCCAAGAGGATGCTCGTATTTAGAGTGTTAGGAACATGATCCAGAACAAGCTGAAAGGAAGTTAACGGTTCAAGGGATGACACTGAATACTTAGCCTGTGTGAAAGGGAAAGGGGAGAAGCAAGGTGTGTTAATGAATCAGAAGTGCAATAGCAGAATTCAGAAGAGTAAAATATTAATTTATCCATGACAGGTCTAGCACTCTTCTGGAAAATACGCCACCTGGCCTGTATGTGTTTGCATTCAGATTTATGGAAGTACTTTGTTCAGGAATGGCTTCAGGGTTTGTTTTTACTGTTAAGGTATGCAGAATGTAGAGCTAGCCTTGATGTAGAGTGTGATTGATAGATATGTGATGGTTTTCCAAGGGAAGAAGACTTAGCTAATTTCTGCCTCCAAGTCAGCACCTTCTTTAGCTCATTCCCCACTTGCAGCTAAATTTGACAGAAGAGCAGAGATTTGAGAGACTCCTTTCATTGCCACAAGTTGTGGGATAAAGAATTATTAGAAAAGGTCTTTTCCAGGTAGAAAAGACACACTTAAATCAATCTTCGTTCCCGTACCCTTACTGAGGAAGATGCAGGTAGATTTGCATTTCTTGTGTTTCTGGAGATAGTCAGCCTGCTTGTATTTGCCATCAGAGGGGATTGGTGATACAGCAGAAGGAGGAGAGATTTTTGGAGCTGGAAGGGTAAAAGCCATTGTAGGGGAGACTGAAGAAATGTAGCAGAAGCCTGGGAGGATGATGCCCCATGGTGCCTGGGATATGGATGTCCCTGAGGCAACACAGTCTGTGAAGTGTGTGATCATAAAGAATGAGAATTTGGGTTTCATAAATCAACTTCTGTGATTCTGTCCATTTAAATGTTTCTTAAAACAAAATAAGGAAAAAAATCAGCTGAAATTAAAGATAAAGAGAGATCAAAACTTACAATCATAGGTGTGAATCGGTGTTTTAGGATGCTTTTTGTCTACAATCCTGGATATTAAATTTTTTTTTTAACTGGGCTGCAATGCATTGTCACTTTCGATATAAGAAAAAATATTTGTGGTATAATTGCCTGATATTTTAGGTAGTGGTTATAAAATAAATAGGAGATTGTTCATCCAGTTCTGTGGTAGGACTTAGATTGAATTGCCAAGAACTGAGAGAAACTTAGTAATTATAGCAAGATTTTTACTATGCCTTTTTATAGCTCTGTAGTATATTAGCTTTTCATGCCAAATTTGGCTGACATTTGTACGATGCTTAGCATCTTACTTTATCACTTATATTAGGCTCTGTTTTAAGGTAGAGAATGTGGAAAGCAGGAAAACTATTATGTGTGGAAGGAAATACATATGACAAAGCCAAGGCATGGCACTAGTTTAAGATTTCATTTTTAAGATACCTGATTTCTCTATTCAATATATTTGTTGAAACTTGGATTTTCAAGGGAGATATTTCTGTGTGTGATTGTAATATATACAATTCACCTAAATAATATGCAAATATTCTTGCTAATTTTTTTTGAAAGGTTACTTTTCTAAGGAGCCAAGTACTACATAAAGTGAAGAGCTTCTAAAATAGTAAAAAGATAAAATTTAATTTAAAATCAGAACTGCAATACATTCTGGTATGTTGTGATGCTTCTTTAAAATATTTTATATAATACATTTTATTCTTATTCACTATCTGAGTGCAACACTGGATATCACAATTACTATGCAAAATTGTGGCTCAGTGTTTGAGAATACCTGAAGTGAGGTTTTTTAGAGACAAGGATTCTGCTTTACATGGAGCCAAAATGAAGCAGGCATTCCATCAGGCAGATGAGAATGATTAAATGGTGATGATGTATTTTTATTATGATGGTGCTCTTGCTTGTGATACATTTAACCATATGTGGCCAGGCAAGTCACTGGAGATTTATCCAGCTTTGATACCGAGTGAAGTATCTGGGACACATTCAGGCATGATGTGGTGTAAAAAAGCTTTGTTCTCATGCAACGGTAGGTGTCTAAAGCTTTGGATACTGTAATTTACCAGAAATACTGAGAGGGTGGTCGGATTAATTCTCCAGTTCTGAACACAATCCAGTGTGTATTGCCATGATCTCAGTTGCTGGTGAGTTGCCTTATTCTCCCTTCAGGCATTTTTCAGTGTGCCCGAGCTGGGGGTCAGAAAGTGCTGATCTGACCTCAGGGAAGGTGTTTTAAAGGCACTGCTGCCGGTGGATGTGGATGCCAGTTCAGTGGATGGTGTCCTACCAGTTACCTCCCTCAATCCCGTGCTGTTCACTTGCTTGCCTGTTACCTTAGAGAAGGGACCTGCTGCCTTAACAAAGTGAGAGTGCACCATTTTTCATGTGGATAATGATTTTGGCAATTAACAGCAAGGGCTAATAATTTCATACCCCTACTAGGGGCACAAAAGTGCATTCTAATAAGATATGGATTTTTTTTTTTTAATAAGGAATAGTAATCTGGAGAAGCAGCAAGAAACTGTAAGCTCCTGCACACTCAGGTTTCAGAATGCATTTCTGATGTTTAAAAAGCTGTCAAGTACAAATGTGTAGTTAAGCCACTGGCTATAGTATTTTATATTAATATTATAAACAATCTCCAAGAGAAAAGGGGATTTTTGGTGTTTAATACTCAGGTTTCTTACACTTGTGTTTTATGTCTGGGTAGTGATGACATAGGGCATAAATATATTTATAATCATGCAGTAATTGCTATTGATTCTCAGTTCTTGAGCACGTGAGTTTTACTGTGCTTACTGAGTCGATGATTTCCGGAAATGCAGGCATAGATTCCATAAACTTTCTGTAAGCTGTCCTTTATTCCTGTACTCTGTGTTTTTGTCTGGATGTAAGTGCTTGCTTCAATGCTTGCTTTGTGACAGTTGTCTTCTCTGCTGTGCCATTTGAATCTGCTCATTGATAGTTTGTCCTTAACAAGGTATCTTTGTGTTGTGTCCTAGAGAATTGCACTCAAAAATTCAGATTTTTTTCCAGGAAATAAAACTGAAGCCATTGTCTACAAGGGACATAACTGAGGCACAAGTGAATGGTGCCTCAATGGCTGTGACACAGTTTCTAGCTGAAATGGGCAGAAGCTGCCAAAAAACTGGTGTTGAAATGAATTCTTAAACACAGAAACATTTAAAGCGGAGAATGTGGGAAGACTCAAGAGTGGTGAGGTTGTTACTCTGTAGCACAGCAATATTGCCTCTGCTCTCATGTGGCAGGGCTGCTTTGCTTTCCTGTTTCCATTTAAAATGTGTTTGCTTCTTCACATTTACAAATTAAATTTAAAATGTGACCTTTTAGATCCCTGTTCAGATGAATACTTGATTATTGCTGTAATGTGGGTAGGGCTGTTTGGTTTTTATTTACATATTCCAAGAGTTTCTTCTTGTTTAATGTAGGGGATGGAGAATAACAAACTTCTCCTCAAGCTGCCCAGCATTTCAGGTGACCCTGGCTTTTCCTGTAAAAAAAGCTGGATAAAAGGTGTTTAAGGGCTTGTTTCTCTAATTTTTTTTTTTAAATTTATCTTCATTCTTTTCAGCCCAGATTCCTTTGGCTCTAATGGGTGATGAGAAGAAGAAACTCGTTAGTAGTTTTCTTAAAAGCTGAAGGACCACCAAGCAAATCCTGATTTTAGGTTACAGAGTTTCCCATCAGTTACTGTTGGTAAAGCAAAGCCTGTGATCCACTGGCAGGAAAGGCCATTAGGAGTGCTCATGATAAAGGCACCTCATTCTGGAGTTTTTAAATTAGCAAATTGATGAGAAATACTTAAATTCTGGTGCCATACTGGGAGGCTTTTTCCAGTGCAGAGCTCAGTTGAATGCCTCTGTGTAGTGTGCAATTGTATGTGTCAGTCTGTTGTGATGGATAAAATGTATGTAAATGTTAACTGTTTGCTAATTACTTCAGTTATTAGATAAATTATTATTTGAGTTCCTAAAAAATATATTCTAGGTGGCCAGTATGTACTTTTCTCCCAGTGTTCTGTACAGCTTTTTTGTCTATTTCCTTTAGAATGATGGTGTTTCACCTGTACTAGACAGACAAACATAATTTAATTTATAGCTGCTCATTTAACACCTGTGATGCCTTTTCTGTTTGCAGTATGTGCAGCTCTAGTCAGCTTTAATGCACCATTCATAGTTATTAGCAGGTGTTGGGCTTTTTTAATTTCCTAGTGCAGTTGTATCAATTGAATGCATTTGGACACGCATTTCAGAAATTGCTTGTGACTGTTTCTGAAACACTGTTAAATCATGAGAAGTAAGAGGGGATATCATCTCTTAATTTACAAGTAAAACAGTTCTGCTTGGAGGTTTCCTGACAATTTTCACCTGCTGGCTTAAAACATGTTTGTTTCCCTCCCCCTCAATGCCATTTTCTTACTGAACTGAACAGGTAGTGAAAACTAGTGTTTTAAAGTTGACTGAATAATGAACTTTTCTTCATATTCAATCTTGCATTCTTTTTTCCTGTTTATCAAACAATAGGAAGTGCAGTCTGCCTGTTAAAGCACATTCAAATTTAGTTTTTAGTATTCAAATAAAAATAAATTGAAGAGAACAAATAGAAATGCTGCAAACAACTTAAGCAAAAAATGTAGTAAACTGCTCAAAAGCACCATGTGCACTGTAATGAAGAGAAATGTTACCAGCTATGTACTGTGCTTTTAAAATGTACCACAAATCCTCCTGCTAACTACTGCAGTTAAGGGAACCAGAGTTTTATTTTCATCAGAAGCTTTGGCAATGAAATGTCAGCAGCAGACAGGGTTGAAGTGCAGCTGGGTGGTTCTGAATAGAATATTAGAACACAGGCCTGAACTCTATTCCTGTGCTGGCCTGGAAGGTGCTGCTGGTCACATCAGCTTCCCTTTCCATGACACACTTCCAGTTCTGTGAAAGGCATGACTCTGGTAACTTTCTTTTCTCTATCTCAAAATCCACTGAGGTTTATCAATAAAAAGGCCCACACTGCTCTCTCATTTATGATGCCAGTTTTGAGACCTGTTCTGGCTATTTTATTATTCCCATAAAGAAGAGGGCCTTGAAATGCAATTGCAGTTGTTTTTTAAGGTGAGAGGGTTGAAAGATTAAGGATCTGTAATTATTTGGAGGAAGGAAAGCTGTGTCACATCTTAGCATTTATTTTTGTCATATGGAGGTAATATATGACATGAGGGCCACATTATCTGGATTTTACAAGCACTTATTCCATCACAGAATCTATTAAGAAAGAAACCCCAAAAACTGTAGTATCATGCATCATGGTAACCAGATGCATAATTATAATGTAAAATCACCATCCTCTAAAAAAATAAAACCTCACTCAAACCACTTTTGACCAAAAAAATCTCAGCTTTCTTGAGAAAATTCTAATTGGCAATAATTCTGATGGGTCCAAGAGCTCTTAAAATTTGCTCCTGGAAGCAATTGGTTTAATGCCCAGGTTACCCTTGGTCACTAAAAAGAAGAGTTGTGGTCAGTTTGCAGGTTGTGGTCTGGCTCCTCATCTGCAAATGTCTTGTGTAAGGCCCCAAATGTCTAAGAATGGGTCAAGCTGTATTTTTGAGGCACAGAGGACCTTTTAGCGTGACTGTTTTTATCATGAGGCCTTCTGAAATAATATTCTTACATTTTTTGATGTTCTGAATGAGTGGTGGTGGAGACTAGGGATCGTGAGAACGAGGTGGCTTCAGTGGCTGCTGTCACTAATGCCAAGCTCTGATAAAGCTGTTACTTTTCCTGCTGCTTCCATCAAGTAAATTGCCCTTGTCTACTGAGGGGTTTGTTATTCCCTAAGGTTTGTACCATCAGATGAGAAGAAGAAGCAGGGCTGTCAACGAGAGAATGAGACTCTAATACAGAGGAGGAAGGACCAGATGCAGCCGGGGGGAACCACAGTCAGCGTCACTGTCCCTTACCGGGTCGTGGATCAACCTCTGAAACTCATGCCACAGGACTGGTAAGAACATTTCTCCTTTAAAACATTTCTTACCCCAGACAATGCAGAATTTGGAAGCAATAAAATGCTCTGAAATCTACTGAAAAATGAAGTCTTCATTTTATTAACTGTAAAAGAGTCTTCAGCTGAAAATAAGATGAAACTAAATTAATCTAAAAGATCTTTAAAACTTGCAACACTTCATATTTTAATAGTGTGAGCAGCACATTTAATATTATTTGGTTTGCCAGAAATGTTCCAGAAATTCCAATAGAAATGTTCATATTATTGTTCTGGTTTGTGGTGGTGTAACGTGCAAGTCACTGAACCATGACATGCAAGAAAACTCCTCTTCTCCTGTCTGCTTTCTGAGGGAGAGTCTGTTGGGAAGATGCTTTTGCAGGCCATCAGCAACTGAAATGCCATATTTTTTAATAATTGTAGAAAGAAAATACATCAGACAGTAAAGACTGAACTGTGATTCCAGTATTGGAACTATTGGAATTTTACTTCTGAAGGACGAGCCCTAGTTACAGAAAGGGAATTGTAGATAGTTTTTACTTTTATGAAAAAGCTGGAAATGGATTATTTGCTCTGTAGTCCATTTTACAAGGCTATAAAAAATAGCTCTCTTTGAATGGAAAAACTCTGGAGAAGTTTTTATTGTTGTTTGACATCTTTTTGTTATTTGATGACATGCATTATGCAGCATTTTTACTTCTTCCTGACAAGTGAGAAGATGTGGGACGTGGACAATGACATATTTGGTGGTTTTGTCATTTCCAAATTTGATTTTAATGGAGAAGAATACTTTTAAAGATTCTGTTCCTAAATCAATTATTCAAGTATTTAGGACTCGAACTAATCAGAAATCAGTGGATTTATAGTTCTGAATGTTAAATAGCACTTAAAATATTTAATGATCAAATCTTTAGGGACCATCTAAACTACTTTGTAAAGTACTTCTGACCAAAGACGTGAAGTGGTGTATGGTTTTTTAATCTTGGTTTTGCCCAAGGAAGCCATTCTAAAACCTGCAAAAAAAAACCCCAAAAACAACAAAACCCAGACCACAAAACTTCACCTTGATTATTCTTTTTCATTTGGGATTTAGTGGATTTAAGGATAGATTAAATTTGGGGATTAGATTAAAGAGGTAATTACTTGTTGTGGTAGGTAAGAACTGTGGTTGGATGATGTAACTGTTCAAGAGAAAGATAGACCATTTGTGGGGAGGTCATTTATTCTCAAAGGTGGGGTTTTTAAAATTTTACTAATACAAAAGCTTAATCACAAATTTATTTTCTTAGACCACAGGTAATGGTTGTGTACTCTTAAAATAGCTGAAATTTCACTTTGCAGAAATTTAGCATCTGTTGGTTCTCACTAATTTTCAGCCTGGAAGTCAGCAGTGTTGAGAATAAAGGCTTTTAAATCTGCGCATCTCAGTTTCAAGTGCCGTTTGCAGAAGATTATCTCTGAAAATGTTGGAGCATTTTTCAAAAGCAAGTTAATGATGACCACAAATAAACACTGCCTTCTAAAAATTGTAACCTGAGAAACTGAGCTACCTTCTGCAAAGGGGCAGGGCTGAAAGCCCAGAGGAATCACAGCAATGATTTTTTTTTCTTTACAAGAGGAAAAGCAATTGTGCTGGAGGTGTAGTTGTTAAATGTTCTCTCCTGCTCTATAAAAGGAGCAGCTGTGCTAAGGCACATGGCCTGTTTAGGACAGCAGGTGACTGGCATGTCCCAGGCCATGCCCATGTCCATGCCCATCCCTCTGTGTGTTCCAGGGACCGCGTGGTGGCCGTGTTTGTCCAGGGCCCTGCCTGGCAGTTCAAGGGCTGGCCTTGGCTCCTGCCGGATGGATCTCCTGTTGATATCTTTGCAAAAAGTAAGGGATTTATTTTGTTCCTTGGTTTGGGGTTTGTTGTTGTGTTTGGGGTTTCCTGTAGGGTGTTTATGCTCATGACAGAGTGCTGCCAAAGTGCTGTTGGGTGGAGGTGTCTGAGCAGGTTTTGGGCTTTGGGCTCCTCACGATGGCAAATATTCCCATGCCCTTTGTGATTGTTCTGCTCTGATCTGTGCAAGCTCATGGAAATCTTCTCAGAGCTGTCAGCTGCAAGAGTCACAAATAGCTGGTGTACAAATGTGCTTTCCAATCTTCTAAAAAGAGGGTGAGCAGACAATGTGTATTCCTACAATTCATAGCTAACAGGTTTACAGGCTGGCTGCACATTCTAGTGCTATTTTGAAGAGAGCATTAATCACCCAGTGCACCACTAAGAAAGCGTTGAAAATATGATCTGGTGTCTGACAAAAACCTCAGAGTTTTAAAAAGTTGAAGTTTCCAGTCAGTTAGATGTTAGCAGTGTATAGATCTGAACAGGTTTTTTGAGTCCCCACAATTGTGATGCTTTGAGGCGCTGCTCTGGCACAGTTCACCCCTCTGACAGAGAGGTGGGCCGTAGTATCTAAGGAGTCTGTCAGCTTCTCTTCTGTGTTTCTTCAGTTTGGAGTTGCTTTAGAAAACAGACCTTCTGGTGGTGTCCTGTGGCTTCAGATATAGACATAACCAACACATACACACACACACCCTCACACACAAACCTCAAAAACCAGGCAACAGACCCAAACCCACCTTAGTTCAGTTCTGGCATCTTGCAGTCAATGTGATGAGGAGAGGTTTGATCAGGTTTTGTGTGTGCCCCTCTTTTCCAGATGTAGAATTTGGAAAGAAAATGCTACTTTGGTGACCAGCAAGGAAAAAACTCAATGATGGGGACAGAAAGCTAAGGATGGGCCTGTGAACAAGAGACTAGAATGAGTCAGTTAAAGAGGGATTGAGAATGAGCAGGGAAAGAGAGAAAGAGCCTGAAAGTAATTGTGAAAGTAAAACTATGCCACAGGAGAGATTTTAACAAAAGAGACTAATGAAAGAAGGTAACAGCACTTCAAAATAAAGATACTGAGAAAATGCAAAAAGCAAAGCCAAGAAAAATGCAGTGAAATACTGAAGGTCTAGCTAGCAGTTACATGCTGCTTCCTGTTAATTTTATCATTTTTATGTACGTATGCATGGCGGCCTGTAGGAATTGTTCTGACTTGCTTTGACATTCCTGGTCTCAACATGCCAAAAGATCACAATCACAGCCTGCACAGTTCAGGCTGAAGGTGTACAAATTCTTACATTTTTCAAGTGAAAGAGGGATATCTGGTCTTAATTCATACATTGAAATGGATCTTCAATTTAGAAATGCATTCCGTTTCCTCAAAGCATGGTATTTTTAAAACATTTTCCTGATAAAGTTTATTTCCAGAGCTTTCCCTAATGACTTTACTCATCCCTAAAATGAAAACAGGTAAATGAAGGGAGCACAGACAGTGTCAGTCCAGTTTTATGTATCTATTTTTATTGAAGCTATTGTTTTGCCATGTTTACAGTGTTCAGTAGTCTTCACAAATGTGGTTTCTGGGATTTGCAACTGTCCATTGTTTCATCTGCAATTTGCATTTCTCCTCTGTCTCTGGGTCTGTTGTGGTTACCAAGTGTTGAAGGCTGTCACTTGGAAAACAAGCAGGTAGCTTACCAGAAAGAACTGCTCAATAAAAGGTGTACTGGGCCAGAGCCTGCCAAACTGATTTTATTGGAGCAATTGCTTTGTCTCAGAACATTTCATTAGCTGAGTCTCTAAAACTGTGCTCCTTTGCTTTCCTTGTGCATGGTGTCCTGTTTCATGTTCATGCACCAAACCAGCCTAATTTCACATTTATAAGTGAATTTTTGTGATGAAGTTTTGAATGCTGTCAGTTTCATGAACAAATATTTCATTTTGACTACCATTTTAAAGGTGTTCCTCCCAGAGCACATCAGGGAGCTTTAATAGTGATTTGTTTCAGGTTCAGAAGTGGATCCTCTTGTGCTTAATAACATTAAATTTGAATGCAGAGGCTCTGTTAGGTGTTGATGGAGTTTTCTGTAAATGCATGGCCCTGGTATATCTTCATTTGTTTTTTCTGAAGTTATATGAATACGTGCAACAATGTATAGTGGAGATAATGTGTATGTATTCTTAATCACAAAGCCTGGAAATTTATCTCTCAGAGATACAAGTCAGATGATAATTTCTTTAGTTTGTCAACAAAAAAAATTGCTAATTTCACATACCAACCTTCTAGGAAGTTCCCAAATGGATCTGGAAAAGAGAACCGATTTTGTGGAAGGCAAAATTAAGAGTGTGGTCTCCGAAGAAGATACAAGCACGACATTAAAAATAACTAGTTTCCACAAGACTGATGGCTTGTTTTACTGTTCCAATACCACTAAAATCATCAGATTGGGTTAAGGAATTGTGCAAGGCTTAAATGTGTTGGTTTTAATGCTCACTGTGTAAATGCTTAGGCTTTACCTAATTCACATGTGACAATACTTCCCAAGAGAAAAATAACAGTTAATATTTTACCATTTTTTAACTGAGTACTAGATCAGGGGAAATTGGCAGTTACTAAATTTCTCAGAATGCTTTATGCAGCATTTGGGGGTTACACTGGCATTCTACTATCAATCTTCTACAGATTATTTTAGGAGACCTACTCATAGGTCTCAGAAATACCTTTTTGATTATTATTTTTAATTCTTTGACAGCTCAGAGATTTTTCAGGAAGAACTTCTTTGTTTCTCAAAGAGAATGTACTTGAATTGGCAGTGTGTTTCTGCTGTTCCCTTGGAATCTGTGCATCTAAAAGCAGGGGCTGCCCTTTCCCTTCACCCTGGAATAGCCTGGGAGCCATTGACCTCTGTATTTAACTGTGCCCTTTAGTGAGTAGTTGACTTCTTTGGATTATGGGTTTGTTAATTTTACTCTCAGGCTTCATTCTGAAAAAGGAAGAGTGGGGTGGGAATTTTCTTTGACCAATAAAGAAACACTAAAGTCTTCATGTTTGTACCAAATGCTCTCCTGTTTGCTGCAGTTAAAGCTTTTCATCTCAAATACGATGAAGTGCGCCTGGATCCCAACGTACAGAAATGGGATGTAACAGTGTTAGAGCTCAGCTACCACAAAAGACACTTGGACAGGCCGGTATTCCTACGCTTCTGGGAAACTTTGGACAGGTATGGCTCCTGCTGCAAGTCCTTGATGTTCGTGCTTGTATGGTTTTGGTGGGAATTAAAAGTTCGGGCAACCAGGGAATTGTTTACAACTTGGCTATCTGAACAGTGATTTAGCTTGGAAATAATGCTTGTTTTGATTTTCCCTGATGATACAGTTAATAAAATGTAGTGGTATATATGTTTACAGACTGTAAGTAATAATCTCCAAAGTGTGGATTTAAAGGAGGGGTAGTTACCATTAGTCATGGATTAGTCCCAAGATTCCCCAATTTCTAACTCTGATTCTCTGGGTCAGAACCCTCCTGAAGGGGAGGTTCACTGCAATACCTTGTTCATGTTGTAGAGAAGAAACTTTTTTATCATGAAGCGGTTGAAGAAATATTGAGGGAGGGGAGAAGCCCATGCGTTTCATGAATGTTTAATTTTTCATGTTGATTCACAGTGAAATGCTTGAATGATTGAGTGAAAAAGAAAAATCCTATGGGAATTGTCAAAATTATTCCAATCATCAAACTTTCCATGGCTTTCTATTTAAAAGTCTCAGGTGAACAATATATCTGGACTCCCAGATGAACTAGTTGTCTTTACAATAGTCTTTCAATGTTAGAGGTCATGCAATGCCTTGGAAAGCTGAGTTTTCTTCGAGGCAAGGCTGTAGCCAGCTGTTATTTACTGGGACAAATCCTGCACACAACACATTGCATCTCTCTGGCAACTTTCTCATTCCCTAAGAATTCTCTTTTAACAATGCCTGGGCGTTTTATTCCTGCAAGTAAAATTCCTGTGAATGCCACAAGGGTAGTAATGCTGTCTTCTGTTAATTTTTTTTCAGGTATATGGTAAAGCACAAATCTCACTTGAGATTCTAAATCCTTCAGCTGCCATTTATTTCCTGAAGTATGGATTGAAAAAAATGGAAGGGGCTCCAGTTTGGAGACCAGAGCTCGCACTATATATGTCAAGAACTTTACAAATGAGGAAGGGTCACAGTTTAAACTTTTTATAAAATCTTATTTGGATGATTCATGCCATGGCAGGTTGATACCTGTTATTCAGAAGCAAAGGGGTTTTGCTTAAAACTATTTTTTTAATGTTGTTAGCCTTCTAGTCTGCAATCCAAATTGTATATTTTGATAGCAGCAGTTTCTTCTCTGTTTTGTTAAATTAGCCACATTTTTAAAGAATGTGTTTTGTTCCCGAGTAGGTGATAGCTGGATCTCCACGGCGGGTTCCCCACGTGTGTGTGCGTGTGTGCGTGTGCGCACGGGCGTGTGTAAATAAATGTGTGCCTGTGTCTGCAGATATAGTGTACAAAAAAGTTACAGACACACTGAGGCACACGTAGGTGTTCCCAGGCTTTCTGAACCACTTAGCTTCTGAGCTTAGTTTGGGGTTTCTTTGCTTACTGTTTCACTTACTGAAAATATTTTGTTGTGAATGATATTACATTTTAGTCAATAGGACTTGCAAACTGAGCAAAGTGAAAGTTGTTTTCGATAAATCAAAATGTCAACCTGTATATGTATATTCTGTCAGTCTTTGTTGAAAAAGGGAAGATCAAAAATCTATTAACTCTTTTTTTGGATTTGTAATGTCCCAGTTTACTAAATCTTGAAAATTTATTATAGGCATACCTTCAAGTCATGGTAACTCTAAATTGCCATTCTCCACGCGCGTCTCTTTCTTTAAACTGAAAGTATGCATGTGTACATTCCCATCTAGCAAATACCTTTGCATATGAGTCTAAATGTTACCTAGATTAAATGATGAATAGAGGAGGAGACAGTTGGATTCTTTTTTTTTCCTGGAACAGCCACCACAAGGAATGAATAATTTTAACTTCTTTGCATTTATACCTCTAATACTATTTTCTTGTGACAAAAGTAGCCCAGACTCTCAACAGGAGTTGTAATTTTCTGAGCTGAGTGGCTAATATGGCCTCCCAAGAGTCCTGCGTTGGAATGGAAAATCAGCCTTCTCAAATTACCAAAGAACAGATTTGCTTCATCTACAGTGTGAGGCCAGAGGATCCTGGTATTTGTACCAATTTACAGCATCTCTGAATCTATGGAATAACGTTAAGTTGATGTTGCATACCAGTGAATGTAGAGAATGATCAAATACTGTAACACCTGCATGATTTTTTTTCTGGGATAGAAAATACATGTTTATATTCCTGTTCTTGAAATTCCAAACCATGTTTTTTTAATATACTTTACATTTAAGGTTTGACAAAAATAAAATGTTCTACCTATTCTGTTTTGGTTTTTATTTGATGTTAACTTCATTTTTAATAGAACCCCAAGTCACATATCCATAACAGGTTTTTAAAACTATGTCTTAAGTTTATGAGGACTGTGAGGTCTGACTTTTAATTGTATATTTCCATCCCTGCTATATTGAGACTGTATTTTCAAATGGTCTTAATGGAACTGTAAAATCTCAAACCACCAAAGCAACCCTCCGTGAATCCCAAGATGAGAAGCAGCTGACCCTGGATTTTGGAATGGATTCAGTGTGGTGACTGGGAAGACTGGGCACTGCAGAACCTCTGGGAAGTCTGTTTGTGTGGGCAGTTGGGCAGTACCCTGTTACCATGTTTTCCTTGTACTCAAGCTTATTAGAAATGTGTCCATGCCATACTAGAGCTGGCTGAAACACTGAGTGCTTGGTTTTACCTGTACTGTACAGAGCAAAGCTGTAATGGCTTCTTCCAGCATTGTAGCTGCTACCACGTGGTAGCAATTTATAGCACATTTCTTCTTTAAACAGTGAGATATCATGTATGCCTTCTTCAACTTGAGCATTTCCAAATAGAAATGTCATTTTTTCAGACTTAATAAGTACATCATGGCCTGTGCTGTTTTAAAGAGACGTCTAGGCAGTCAGCTTGAAAAGTAAATTTTGAACAAGTGTGTGCTTCACATGCAGTGTGATATGCAGACCACAGAGTGGGTTTGCAATAGGCAAGGGACAGTTATCTTTTCTGTATCCTGTACTTCACTTGTGTTCTCAATGCAGGTATAATTCCACATCCAGTATTGTATCTAGGAGATGGTTTGATTTAGATGGAGATTTATGTACTTATTGGCAGTTGAAACTCCTCTGAAACTACTGACGTTACGTGGCCATGGAGTGGGCAGAAGAGCAATATCCATGAAATCTGTGTGACCTGTGTTTGTTTTTATGGGTTGAGGACAGACCTTTAACATCTTAAAATTTTGTACTGGCAAGCAGTTTGTGACCCAAATTATACAATATGTATTTGTGAAGGAGCTGGCACCTGATTGTGCATATTTTTGTCAGTCATAAAAGTAGTGATGTTTATAAAATGAGCCATTTTGCAATCAGATTCCTGCTGACATTATTGGAAGTTTAATTAGGTTGTCAGAATAGCATTCCTGCTGCCTTCATAAATAACTGCACATAGATTATGAAACTACTTGGACTTAAAAATTTAGCCTTACAGCAGCATTTTGCAACACAGCTGGAATTTTAGACATTTATGTTATGCTTAATTTGTCTGCACGTTAATGTAGAGCAATAAAGAAAACTGATACTAAGAAGTGAGGAAGCTGGAGGAGCAGACATCTGTTTTACTGAGCTGCTTTCTTTTTGCTGAGCAAATTCAACACACTACTTAGAGGTGTATAAAGTGTGTAAATTGTATTCAATTAAAATGTCCAGCTACAGCTGAGCTACTTCCCTGACTGCAGTTTATTGAACAATAGAATGACACGAGCGTGAGAATCAGATATCAAATTGGCTGTTCCTGTTCTACACTTTTAATGTCATAACTCTTCACTGTTTCAGGAGGATGAGATGAGTGAGATGAAGCATGATAAGTCCAGAACTGGTTTGAAGTCTGTGATTGGGCTCACATGCTGTCAGCAGGTGATTATTGCTTTTAGTAGCAGGGTTAGTGGGGCCAGTAGTTGTACCTGAAGTAATGATTTTATATTAAAAACTAAAATACCTATGATTTATACTATTTGAGCTTTTGAATATACTTTTCACTTGAGCTTTTTGAAGGTTAGTCTGAACAAAGCAAACCAAAGGGGAGTTTTTTGTAAGATAAAGTAGGGCAACTGCAGGGACTTGCATACCTGAAGAAATTGCAGATCAGCATCCTCAGCTGAGTAGTCTCAGCTATTTAGCTATTACCTGGAAGTTTTTGTAGGAAGATGGTTTTACAAATAGGTACTAAAGTCAGTGCTTGAACTAGACAATTTATGGAATTGTTCTGCAATGCTGTAAACCTTTTTATTTCTGAATTCAGAAGAAAATGTAGATAGCAAATTGTGTGCTAAGTTGCCCTTCATCATAAGTTAAACTATTATGTTATATTTGACAGCAAATTTGGAACAGCAAATTTGTTTTTGGCTTTCATTTGCTGTGCAGTTGGTGTATAAATATTGCCAGTCTCTACAGGGACGTGCAAAAGTAAGTTTTGTTAGTACAGCCTTTATTCTTTTGCTGGTGAAATATGCACTTTGTTGCTAATTCTTGCAAACACTGTACCAGAAAAGAAAAAAAAGCTGATCAAAATTAATGGCTTAGAGGTTTTAAAATTTAATGTCATGAATGCATTTTAATTCAAAAGCCATAACTAATGCCAAGTACTTTATTAGAGCAATGTGTTCATGAAAAATTAAAATCCCTGCCTGAAGAAAATGCTGGCCAAGTAGGTTACAGTTCAGCTAATGTGTGGAAAAATCTACCACGAACTGGAATCTCCAAATGTCGTATCCTGAGTTGCTCACTTGTAATGAATGGATTTTTGTGAGAGGTGGCAGTTCTGCTTACTTTGCTAGCAGTTGCATACTTCAGTCACACTTGTGTAGTTTTCTGTCCTAGGTTTGGGTTTGCATTGAGACTGCACACCACAAGGGTTCTGAGGCAGGGACAGAACACAGATCACTGAGGAGGGAGTTGTTGGAGTGGAGCTGAGGCACTTGGCAAGGATAACGACGGTGTCTGAATGGGACTGTGATCCAGGGGTAACATCTGATGGTGCTTGTGGATCCTTCCAACTCAGCACATGCTGTGATTGCTCAGCTGTCATTGACTTCTCTCTGGATCATTCCTTTCAGTGGTGATGCTATCACACAGGGCAGGTTTGAGGATGAGATTTAATCCAGCACAACCTGTTGGTGGGTAGTACACAGTGGCAGGCCATGCATCCAGACTTTTACTGTGCTCGATTTTCTTTAAACATGAATTTTATAATTTTAAAAATAAGAATGCAAATGCAAAGAACAATCTCAAATGTTTCAAAGTTTATTGCAGATACTAGTTCTCTTGTAAAAATGAAAGATATGAGGTGGTACAGAAAATCTGTAAGAAAAATAACTTAGTGTCTGTTTTTTATTTCCATCTGTAAATTCTTTTGGTGTATTTCAAATGCAGAAAAACTGTTTACTTGCTTCACAAGGTTCCTGCATGTATCAGTGGAAACTGTCAGAGGTAAATCTTCAGCTGCAGTTCCTTGAAAGTTTATAGATTTTATGAGTGTGTGGGTTATAAGTTCTGGCCTGTGTCAGTGTGCCCAAGTTTTAATAGTGGTTTTGAAGGTTGAAATTCAAATGAAATCTCAGAAGAACCCTATGGGAACAACTACTATTGAGTGACGAAGAAAAGAAACTTTCCATGCGACTCAAACTTTAAACTATGACATAGCTGTCATAAACTTGTATTTAACAGACTGTTAAATTTAAATTTTTGGAAATATCTTGTTACATGACCATTATTTAAGATGTGAACTATATTAATGATGTTTTTTACAGAGTTATAGTTCAGCATTAGCTCAAGTCCAACTTCTGAGGATTCCTAGGAAAAATATCTTTCAGACTTTCAAAGGTAGGATGTCTTTCAAATTGCAACAGTCATCTTAGCCCTGAAAGAAGAAACAAAGCATGTTTTTCATGTTCCTATCAGTTAAGACCAAACATGTAGTTTCATAACACTGAATGCATTTTTATTGGTGAAATAGGATGTAAAAAAACATCTTAAAGAAACAGCTTCTAATGTTTCACTTGTTCCTTTCCTCTTGAAATCCTTTCCAGAGACCTATCCAGCTACTCTTCTGCTTCCCTGACTTATTCTTCCTGCTTGTTTCTGCCAAACTGTTCCCTAACCCACAGTCTTTTTATGGAAGCACACCACTAGGAATGATTCTTCTGCCCTATCAGGGCACAGACAGGGCAGTGGAAGCACAAGAAGCATGAACTTCTCCCTATTGTATCTTAAAGCTGTTTACAAACAAAAAACCCCAAATGAACAAAACCTCAAAACTGATAAAAATTCATGGATGACCTACTCAATATTTCATCCTGCTTCTTTCTAGTTTAGTTTTGACCTGGAGCAATGAAGCTTTGAAGTTTTGAACATAAAAATACCGAAGGCATACTAGTTGTTAGTATTTCCTTAATTACTGGTATGTCGCTAATTATTCTCCAAGGACCTTTAACTGCAGAGGTCTCCCTGTTACTGCAGATTAGTCTGAGGTGAAGAATGATTATCCTGAGCTCCACTGAGTCATTCTTAACCTGAGACTGAGTGAAATCTAAACACTTAATTACCTGACAGCCTTTGTTCACAGCTGGCCCAGGGTTTCAGGAGCACCACACTAGTTTTGTTACTGATTTTGTGACACAGATCCAAAAAAAAAAAAAAAAATATGAGCAGTGAACAACGTGAAAAACTAAAAGTTTGATACTTGTGGATTTGATGGTTTTCCAGGGCTAGGAGTTACCAGTAAATTTTACAGCATGCCCTTAGAAAGTTCTGATTCTCACAGAAAAAGAAGGTGTAGCTGTGTCTGTGTCTGTAGTGGGGTATCTGGGCTGAACCCCTCCTCAGCTGAAGTGTCCATACTTGGATTGCAAGTTCCACTGGAGATAGGGCATCTTTTTGTTCTGTAATAAAACTTGTAGGAAGGAGCCCGTGTTTTATGCACGATGGAAGCAATTAGTCTGCTTGCTGAAAAGTTGCCAAAAAGGTAACAATAGGATTAAAGACTAAAACCAAAACAACAAAAAAAAAAGAAAAAACCAACCCCACAACCTGCAAAAACTGCTCAACAACAAAATCAAATTAACAAAAACACCAGCAAACCCAAACTACATAGAAATTACTAAACTGAAATAGATTTGGAACAATGCATTGTAAAGTCTGTATGCAACAAATTTATTCTGTATGGATTAATGCCCTAAATTGTGTTCCAAATAATCTTGTTTTGCCTTTGTCAAGTTGACTGATCCACAAATTCACACACTGGAGTAAAATTCCTATTGAATTTTATTTTCACTTCATATTGGATTTTTCTGGCTTTAGTCAGTAGCTATTGGTCTGTTCATCTTGCCTTCTCTTTCACCCAAATATCAAGGCAGCTGGATGATCTTGTAAGTACAGAATTAGGTAAATGAAAAGTAACAGTTAATTTTGTGTTTATGTGCATACGCATTACTGTTCTGTTGAGAAATGTGCATCCATCATGATGTACATTGTAATTTTTTATATCATTACTTCTGTGATGTGTCAAAATTCAAGTGTGGTGTTCTCCATATGTTAATTCCTTTCAGAACACAGTTGACACTTGGCCATACAGCATGAGACTATATTCAATTCTTTAACTAAGCTACATGAGAAATCATAGGTAAGGAGAACTGTGCATTTAGTAATTTGCCTCTCAGGGGCTTGTTTTTACTCTAATACAGACTGTAGGTTATTTCCAAGAGCAATAAATAGCCTTTGAGAATTTCAGCGTAATAAAATCTGCCAGAAGTCTTTGAAATGCATGTAATATGTCAGGAATTTACCCATTTGATGTGAGATGTGAAATGTCAGCAGGTGTC